GACAGAGATTGGATTGGTGGTTACCAGAGGGGAAGGGGGGAGGGAGGAGGGTGAAAGGGATAATTCGGTACATGTATGTGGTGATGGGTTGTAATTAGTATTTTGGTGGTGAACATGATATAACCTATGCAGAAATAGAAGTATAATGATGTACACCTGAAATTTTGACAATGTTATAAACCAATGTTACTGCAATAAACAAAAAATTAAAAAAAAAAATAGACCCATATTTACGCATGTGGAAAGGTCTCTAAGATCTTAATTTTTACAAGATAATTTATATAAGATGAAAGATAATTTAGAAAAGATAAAATAGCAAATCCATATGGCATTGCTTTATTTATGTTTATTAAAATTATTATGTATATGTATACAAACATATGTTATGTATACACATATATATGCACGTGTGTGTGTAGAAAAATGATTGAAAGTATATTCACCAAACTACTCAGAGTGTTCCCTTCATAGATGAGTGTGGTTGAGGGAGAATCTTCCACATTTTCCTTTAAAGACTTCAATTGGTCATTATACACTGAGAATGTATTCATATATTACTTATCAAATAAAAATAAACCAATAAATTAATTAAAAATTAAGTTCCTTTTATATTTATACCATTTTATCATTTGTTTTAGGTCTAGTTTTCTTAACTTTTTTTCCTTGGAATATCATTAATATATATTCAGAATTAAAAGTATTACTACAAAAACTAAAAAGTACATAAACAAAAACCAATAATCTCACCATTCAGATAAATACTAATAACATTTTGGTAAAAGAGAAAAGGGAGAGAGAAAGAATGCCATGTCTACATCATACATACGTACAATCAAATTCACATATTATATATGGAGTTTTGTACCCTGATTTTTCCATTTAGCATTATATTGAGAGCTTTTCCCCCATGTCATTACTTATTCTTCAGAAACATGACATTTAATGAATGTATGACATTCCATCATATAGATGTGCCTACTAGATATTCAGATGGTTTTCAATTTTCTCATTGTTAGATATAAGGCAGCAATAATAATTCTCTGAATATATTTGCCAGTATTTCTGATTATTTCCTTACATAGATTATGAAATATCTACATATGGATTTGCTGGAGGAAAGATTGTAAGATAACACCTCTGAATATATTGCCAAGGTTGCACCAATTTATACTCCTACCAGCAGGACATAAAAGTCCTAATTTCATCCTATCCTTGCCATCACTGTTTATTAGTATTTTTTAACCTCACAAATTTGATAATGGGGGGAAAGCTGTATAATTGTTTTTCAATTTGCATTTTTTCTAAATGCATATATTTGGTTATCAGTAAGAAATCTTTTTTGTCTTTGGTTTCGACTTTTTTTTTTTTTTACTTTTTTCTCCTAGATTTTCCACTGGGGTTTCTATCATTTATTTATTCCTTTATAGTATGAGTATGTGTGCATCTGTGTGTGTGTACCAAACACTGATTTATACACTCACACACACACACGACACATATGGATTTATATGGATACACATAGCAAACACACATATTTAAGATATTGCTCCTATAACTGTCACATATGTTACAAATATTTTCTGACATCTGCCTTTATTTTATTTATATATTTTTATGCAAAATAATGTTTTTATGTATTCGCTCTATAAATTCTTCCTTTATGGTTTTTTCCTTTAATTTTATGCTTTTGCTTCCCTATGCTATCGTATTTCTTTTTTTGAGAAATTTACTTTTCAATGTATCTTGGGCTATTGGAAGTTTAGAAGGAGACTTGATAAGCACAAGAAAATTCTATTTCCAGGGAGAGTTCACTAAATATATTGTAGTCCAGATAAAACTCAAGAAAATTAATAAAATAAATGCAGAGAATATGAGAAGCTGTCACCAAACTTCCTAGAAGAAATAAATCTGTGTCCAGTTTCCCTCTGTTGCTTCTGGAAGAAGTCAAGTTCACGTGATAAGTTGATATCTGACTAATCAGATTAGAGTTCACTGGAGGCATAAATAGAATCTGCCAGTCACAAGATCACTGCCAGGGAAGGACCACTCACCTTGAGGCAAAGTCATCAGGAGCCCAGCCTAAGCGATCACACATCACCTCCAGAGCAACAACCACCGGGCATGTCAAACAGGATGCATGCTGAACTCCATGGCTATAATTTCTTAAATGTGACTAACAGACAAAACTCACCAATTTGTCAGCTTCCTCCAAATCTCAACTAGTGCAAGACCACTTGGACAATGTCTTTTTTTTTTTTCTGCCTTTGATTTTTTTCAACTTTTTATTATGGAAAATTTCAAAGATGTAAACAAGTAGACAGAATAGTAGAAGGAGCCTCCTCCCATTCTACATTCTTATTATCCAAATTGAACAATTATCGACTCATGGCCAGTCTTGCTTTGTCTACTCCTCCCTTCCTGCCACTACTGCCACCATCCAGATTATTTTGAAGCAAATTCCAAACATCCTACATTTCTCCTGTAAATATCTCAGTATGAGATAAGGTCTTTTAAGGATATTATTTGCATTTAGAGACTGTAAAGCCCGATATATTCCTCTTTAAATTGTTAGTTGCTGTTACATTTGCCAGGAAGCGCTCCGGTTCAATCTTCGTATTCTCTTTTCTTTTGTGTTCCTCATCCCTGCACAGTCTTTCTGCTACAGTGGATCTGTTCTTGCTAAGGGCAGGGAATTGTTAGCTGCCCAATTCAAGGGCAACTTTTCACTACTTATTTGGCCTTCCTCCACATTTAACCCTACCACGTCCTCCTGCTGGAAGCTCTTTTTCTCCTTCCAGGACATGAGTATCGCTCTCTTATGGCTCTTTTGTCTGGTTCCCTCTCAAGCTCTCTTTCTCTCTCTCTTCTTCTCTCTTTCTCTCTGCCATTTTCCTCTGGAGACTTTTATTATGGAAAAGATGCATTGTATTTAGGAAGAGGAAGTAAGCAAAGGAAAGACATAACCTCTCACAAGTTCTCCCTGTCCTTTGACACTGGATGATGTTCACTCAAGGCTCAGGACTCTGATCTAGAGGCTCTTCAAACATTTCTGTAGCTCCACACTGCCACCCATCAGCAATGAGCCACAAACAGCCAACCCAACAAAGGCCAATTTCTTCTCAGCTTAAAACCAAAAATGCTCAAGAGCTTTTCTCCCCATTGTACTGCCTTTACAAATATTTTTTTTTCCAATGGCTGAAATCCATTTCTGTTACCACTGTATAAGAGTGAGGGACACTACTTTTTATTTGAACAAGAAATGAAAAATACACCAAGCAGAGACGTATAGATAATCAGTTTTACCTCATCAAAGACCTTGGACACAACATACTTGTCCAGAATGGGAACGTAGGTGGGGCTGTGAGGGACTGCTGCCACTGACAAGGCATCCATGATGGTGAGTTTCTTGGCAACCAAGCCATGGGTCTCGAGCCAGATTGCTGAAGATATACCTAAAGAACTAAGAATATAGACTATGATGTTTTAAAGTTTATAATAAACAAAAACATAACAAAACTGTCCTAGTAGAATTAAAGTACTCACTCTTGGTCATAAACCTGGCTCCCTTCTCGAGTCAGTCTTTCTAATGCTTTGTCATCTGGATATTCATTTGCCAGGAGGATGCTCATTTCTGTGGAAGAGGAAATGGCAGTGATATAATTTCCTCATATATGGGGTTTTGATCAAAATGCAAAAGGATCTTACATATCTGAGTTCAGTTGTGACTGAGGGCTAATAAATGGACCATATTTCAGAGAACACTGATCCGTTAGAGTGGGTTCTCGAGCAAGACTCATTTGCAATTTACACTAAAGACCAATGCATAGGTAAACATGGTACCATCACTGCACTATCATTGCTTTGCTTATCTACCTCACCCCATATCCACTGAGATCTCTCTCCATGGAAGAATGAGACAGAATCATTCTCTCATTCTCCAGAAAACACATTTTTTAAATGTTAAATAAGAACACCATTAACCAACGATTGCTCAATGTTGCCCTCATTAGACTCCTCTTAAATTATACAAGAGAGCCTTGATCAACATTTTGGTTTCTGATAGTTTGTTTTGTGGTTCCTCTACTCTCTGCAGAAAACCAAAATCTCAATTAGGTCCCATTTAGTTATAGGTTCAAATCTCCAAACAAATATTTGGAGTTTCTAATGTATATCCTTATGTAAACTTGGATCTATAAACGGAAAGGAATACTAGCTAGTTGAATCAGCAGCATCTAGGAAGGGTGTTTGGGAGTGAGTTAGCTAAATGTCTAAGAAATCATATCCTAAGCGTCGTATGATAAGCCCTTTAAGGACTGTGCATGTGGAGGAAGTATGATGGGTTAATTGAGACTGAGGAAAAGACATCACACTGATCAGCACTGAAGAACGCAAAGTTTGATTAAGCTAGGACTGAGTGACAGCGGGTGTAAATTTGTCACTCGAGTGCTTCCTACTACCTAGGGGATTGTGTGTGTGTGTGTGTGTGTGTGTGTGTGTGTGTGTGTGTGTAGCTGGGATTTATCATCTATCAGCTATTAGGGAAAAGCACTACTGGAATTAAACTTTTAGACATTTACTATTAAGAATAATGATTTTATCAATAGTAATAAAAATTGAGTGGAAAAGTCATATTTTCCTCACATGTAGCCCCCAAAAGCTGACAATAAGGACCAGAGAGGGGATCATCACATAGTGCCACTACCTATGAATGAAGGGAAGAAAATAAACCAACTATGAAGCATTATTTTTTCAAATTCAAACCACAGAGTGGCAGCAGCATTACCACTAGCACCGTAGTGATGCGAGCCACGTGTATGTGATACTCCCAGGCACAAGAAGTGCAAGTCTTGCCCCAAGAAAATCGAGTTCACTAAAGCAGGTAGACCTGATTTACAAGGGAGTCCTCTGAATAGGAAGCAATCCGGACCCACTTAAAAATGATTTGTTTCCCCCTAAAGCATCTGTGCCCAGCTCTTTCAGGAGCAGCCACGCTGGGCGAAGGGAGGCCAGCCTGGGCTTCCTGACGTAGAGACCCTCTCTGGCTTGCCTCTGGCACTGGGGGTGTTCCAGCCGCTGGACTGGGAATGGCCGTCCTTCCTCTCTCTGCAAGCTGAGCTCTTGAGGGAGGACATCTGGCTTCTGAGCAGGCTGGTTTTGGTTGCTTCTGTTGGTATCACAGGGAGAGGGTTAAAGGAATTTGGGATGGAAGAAGACAATTTATTAGATGCGACTATTTCCTTGGATCCTTAAAATAAGAATGCAGCTTCAGTTTCCCAACCCTCAGAGGACAGTCTGCCACCAACTGAATGCTGCGGTGATGGCTTGCTCCATGGATCTGAGTTCAAGCTCTGCCCCTCCTGGAGAGATACCTGCTTCCACGCTCATTCAAGTTGTCGGCAGAATTCACTTCCTGGCAGCTGTAGGACTGAGGCCCCTGTTTCCTGTCTGGCTGTCAGCCGGGGGCCTCTTTCTGCTCCTTAAGCACCTGCATTCCTGCCCACGTGGCCCTCTCCATCTTCAAATCAGCAACGACACACTGAATTCCCCTCATGCTTCAAGTCTCTCTGACTTTCTCTTCTGCCACCAGCTGGAAAAAGCCCCTGCTCTTAAGGGCTCATATGAGTACACTGGGCCCTTCTAGATAACCCCGTCTTAAGGGGTTTCAGGAGCAGCGTACTCATGGGAACTATGCCTCATCATATTCACAAGTTTCAGGGTTTAGACCGGAACATCTTTGGTGGGCCGTTTTAGAGACTCTGCCTACCACAGTTGCTGTCCAACAACTTTATGCATATTATTTATATTATTTTCTATGTTCTGTTGGGTCCCTTCAACTAGCAAGTGCACACTTATCAAATATTGACATTTAATCTGTGTGTTTTAGAGGGTAATGAGCCTGTATCGAGACATTTTGATTACTTTTCATATGCGATTACATAAACTACACTAATTGTAAATGTATTCTGTACTTCACAATTTAGAGGCACAAATATCAAGGCTTTATGTAGTATTCATGAATAAAATATGTCCTTGTTTTCAATAAGAAGGGACTTACCATCTCCTATAAGAAATTAGATAATTAGAGTGAAGAGTAATTAATAATCTACAAATTGTCTGTCTTTTGCACAGAAAAATAACACCAGTGGTCTCCATGCATGGAGATAGGAGTGTGCTACGTGTTATTCATTGTTTTTCTAGGCAACAAAAGGGTGAGTCCTATCTTGCTTGCCTCTGTAACCAGAAATTAAGAAGGGTAAATTTTCTTGGGAGCTATGTCTAAGAGCACAAGAGATAAATGATCCACATGGGAGAGGTGAACTCCTGCCCTGACCACACTCTCAGGCCACTTTGATCAAAATCACTAGGCAAAAACAACCACATACACTGGTGTGCCAAAATTAAAATTAAATTTAGCTCCCAAAGTCCCCAAACAAAAAAAACTGTATTTTTCTTAAACTCTGCAAATACTGAATAAGAACATATTTATCTGGCAGTGGATTCAAGCATTTAACTACTCCCCAAGCTCTGTATATTCAGTCCCCACATTTCATCATTCTTCTACATTAAAAACTGAAACAGAATAAAAATTCAGCACAGGGTTGCAATAGCAAGGATCCTAAATCTAAGTGAAATGGTGGAAGTGATAAAAGGCCATTAAAATGTTTAGGATGAGTAGCAAGTAGTGTCTTTAGCAAAACTCAGATTTATTGGAATGGGCAGCAGGACTGGCAAAAGGGGTCTGATATGGGAAGCCTCTTTGTTCCCATGGGCCTAAGACATGCCTCCCTTGCACAGAGGCACCGGGACAAGTGGACAGATCATGCAAGAGGGACCAAGATACAGCAAGTAGCCCATTCCAGGAAGCCTCTTGGTCTCTCTGGGTTCAAGGTTCTCCTCCTCTGCCCAGAGACATGGGGACACCAAGAGACAATGGTGGGGGGAAGCCATAACAACCCTCTCCCACTGAGAGACATCTATCACCCCGGCCTGAGGAAACTCTTGCTGTTCCCCCAGGCAGCACCAGCAGGGACCAGTAGGAGCCCCAGTGACACCAGAAAACCAAGCACCAAAATAATACCACAAAGGCTGTGAAAATTAAATTGCCATTGGACCCACAAAAGCAGATCAAGGCCTATGCACTAACCTTAACCAGGGCAACCACTTCCTAAAATAAAAGATTTAAATAGGATCTAGAGTCCCTGACATAATAGACAACATGTTCAAGATATTATTAAAAACTCACCCGCCATATCAAGAACCAAGAAAATCATACCTTAAATGAGAACAAACAGTCAAATGATTCCAACACCAGAAGTTGGAATTATCTGACAAGAATCTCCAAGAAGCTGTCTTAAAAATGTTTCAACAATTAATCACAAATTCTCTTGAAACAAAGGAACGAATAGAGAATCTCAGCAAAGAAATAGAAGTTATAAAAATTTCCAAGTGAAAATTGTAGAACTGAAAAATAAAATAGCAGAAATAAAAAAACTTGTTGGATGGGCTCAGTAGTAGAGTGGAGGTGACAGAGGATAGTATCAGAGAACTTGAGGACAGAATAACAGAACTCAGCCAATTGAACAACAGAGAGAAAATACATTGAAAAAAAGATGAATGGAGTCTTAGGGACCATGGCATAATATCAAATTATGCAACATTCATATTATCAGAGTCCCCAAAAGACAGGGAGAAAGAAAGTGGGACTGAGAGACTATTGGAAGAAATAATAGATAAAAACTTCCCAAATTTGGTGAAAGACATAATGTACAGATTCAAGAAGTTGAGCAAATCCCAAACAGAATAAATCCAAAGAAATCCACGCCAAGATGCATTATAGTTAAACACTTGGAAATTAGAGACAAAGAAAAAATCTGGAAAGCAGCCAGAAAGGACACATTACCTATAGGGGAACACCAATTCCAGTGACAGCAGATTTCTCATTTAAAATTTAGGAGGCCAGAGGAAGAGGCTCAATATTTTCAACTACAGAAAGGAAAGAACAGTAAACTACAAATTCTGAATATGCCAAAATTGTCCTTCAGGAATGAAGAGAAAATAAAAAACATTCCTAGACAAAGAAAAAGTAAAAAAAAAAAAAAAAAAAATATGGCTAGCAGACCTACCTTTAAAGACTGAATAACAGAAAGTTTTTCAAACAGACAGGAAATGATAAAAGGAGGAATTTTGGAGAATCAGAAAGGAAGAAAGAATGAAAGAAAGCAAAAATATGGTACATACAGTAGACTATCCTTTCCCAATGAGATTTATAAATTATATTTGATGATTTAAATAAAAAGTATAACACCACCTGATACTCAAGACAATGATATTTAAAATTAGGGAAAATAAAGAAATCGAAATTGAAGTAAGATTTCCACCCACACACAAAAGTGGTAAAACGTTGATGCTAGTAGATTCTTATAAGTTGCACCTATATGCTGTCATATTCAGAGAAATCATTACAAAAAACATAAAGAGATACACTCAAAAACACTACAAATAAACCAAGATAGAATTTTCTTAAAAGTTCTAATAACCTGAAAGAAGGAAAGAAAAGAGAAATGGAGGAATGAAAATAAATAGAAAATAATAAAATAATAGAAGTAAGTGCTAACATACCAATAATTACTTTAAATGTAAATGGTCTAATTACACTAATCAAAAGACATATGTTGGTAGAGTGGATAAAAGAACACTATCAAATGAGATACTCTTAGAAGAAATTTATTTCAAGTACAACATAGGCAGGTTGAAAGCAAAGGATGGAAAAAGATAAACCATGCAAATATTACCAAAAAGCTGGAGTAGTTATGTTAATATCTGATAGAGCACACTTCAGAGCAAAGAAAATTTACATAATAAAGTGATCAATCCACCAGGAAGACATATAGATCCTAAATGGGTATACACAAGCCAATACAGCCTTAAAATATTTGAAGCTAAAACTTAACGAGCTGAAAGGAAAAACAGACAAATCGACAAATACAGTTGAGGATAAAAAGTAGACAGAGTATGTTCTCTGACCATAGTGGAATCAAACTAGAAATCAATAAGAGAAAGACAACAGGAACAACTCTAAACACGTGGAAGTTAAACAAGACATTTATAAATAATCTATGGGTCAAAGAGGAAGTCTTAAAGGAAAGAAAAATACTTAGAACTGAAGAAAAACAAAAACACAACAAATCAAAGTATGTGAGATGCAGCTAAAACAGTGCCATGTTTTGAAAAATGCCTCTTAGGTGATTTCATCATTGTGAGAACATCATAGAGTATACTTACACAAACCTAGATGGTATAGCCCACTACACATCTAGGCTATATCGTGCTAATCTTATGGGACCACCATCATATATGTGATCCGTCATTGACCAAAGCATCGTTATGTGGTACATGACTGTATCGCAAATCAATAATAAGTTCCTAACTCAAGAAACTAGAAAAGAAGAGCAAAATAAAACTAAAGCAGGCAGAAGAAGGAAATAATAAAGAGCAGAAATCAATGAAATTGAAAATAATAAACATTAGAACAAATCAATGAGACAAAAAAGCTATTTTTTCAGGGAGGGGGACCAATAAATCTGATAAAACCTCTAGCAAGATTGAAAAAGACAGAAAGAGAGACAGAGAGGGAGAGAGAAGACACAGAGCACTAATATCAGGAATGATATAGGGGACATCACTGTAGATCTTGCAGCCATTAAAAAGGTAATAAAGGAATACAATGAACAAATTTGCACTCATAAATTTACAACCTAGAAAAAACAGACCACTTTCTCAAAAACCATAAATTTCCAAAACTCAACTGAGATAAAAAAGACAATATTAATAGCCCTAAAACCACTTTAAAAAATTGAATTTTTAATGAAAAAACTCCTGGAAAAGAAATTTCCAGGCCCAAATGGTTCCATGATAATTTTACCAAATATTCAAAAAAGAATAGTATCAATTTCTTCCAGGAACAGAAGAGGAGGGACAACTTCTCAACTCATTTGATGAGGACAGTATTAGCCTGATACCAAAATCAGACAAAAACAGTAGTAAGGAAAAGGAAGAAAACTCAGAACAATATCCTTCATGAACTTAAATATAAAATTCTGAACAAAATATTAGCAAACTGAATCCAGCAATGTACTAAAAGAATTATACACTAAGGCCAAGTGGGAAATATTCCAGACATACAAGGCCACTTCAACTTGTGAATATCAATCAATGTAATCCACCATATCAATAGACTAAAGAAGGAAAATCATATGTCAATTGACACAGAAAAAGCATTTGACAAAATCCAGCACCAATTCATGACAAAAACTCTCAGAAAACTAGGAATGAGGGGAACTTCCTCAACTCTATAAAGAATATCTACAGAAAATCTACAGCTAAAATCATACTTAGTAGTGAAAGACTGAATATCTTTCCCCATTAAGACCAGGAAAAAGGCAAGGAGGCCCACTCTCACTACTCTTATTCAACATAGTGCTGGAAGTTCTAGCCTCTGCAACCAGGCAAGAAAAAGAAAGAAAGCGAGAAAGACGAGAAAGGAAGATAAAACTGTCCCTATTTGCAGGTGCTGTATTGTCTGTGTGGAAAATGGCAAGGAATCCACAAAAAAAAAACAAAAACAAAAAACTCCTAGAACTACTAAGCGAGTTCAGCAAGGTTGCCGCTTACAGGATCAACACACAAAATCAATTGCATTTTGATATACTAACAGTGAATATATGGAAACCTATATTAAAAAAAACAGTACTATTTATAATTATTCCCCCCAAAAAGAAATAATTAGTTATGCATTTAACAAAACATGTACATGATCTGTAAGCTGAAAATTACAAAATGCTCCTGTAAGACATTAAAGAAGACCTAAATAAATGGTCATGTTCATGGGTCGTGTCATGTTAATAGGTTGAATGAATCAACATTGCAGAGATATCAGTTGTCCCCAAATTGATCTATATGTTTAATGCAATTCCTATCAAAATCCCAGAGAAGTTTTTTATAAGCATAGACAAACATATTCTAAAATTTAAACAGAAATTTCAGGCCCTAGAAGATTTAAAATAATTTTGCAAAAGAAAAATAAAGTTGGAGGAATCACTGTATCTGATATTAGAGCTTACCATGTAGCTACATTAATCAAGACATTGTGGTATTGGTGGAGAGACAGACACATAGACCAGTGAGTGAAACAGAATATAGAATCTAGATTTAACCCACACAGATATGCCCAGCTGATTTTTGGCAAAGGTGTAAAATTAATTAAATGGAATAAGTGTAGCCTTTTCAACAAATGGTGCTGGAACAACATCTATAGGCATAAACAAAACTAAACAAAATCTTGATCCAAATCTCACATCTTATACAAAAATTAACTCAAATGGATCATGGACTTAAATGTAAAATATAAAACTATAAATCTTCTAGAAGAAAACATAGAGGCAAATCTTCAGGAATTAAGGATAATGAAAAAGTTCTTAGATTTGACACCAAAAGCACGATCCATAAAACGAAAGACTGATAAATTGGATCTCATCAAAAGTTTTTCCTTGGCAAAAGACCTTAATAAGAGGATGAAAGGACAAGCTACGGACTGGGAGAAAATATTCTCAAACGACATATCTGACAAAGGCCTAGTATCTAGAATACATGAAAAACTCTCATAACTCACCAATAAAAACCAAACAATCCACGTAAAATGGGCAAACGGCATGCACAGGCCTTTCACCAAAGAAGGTGTACAGAATGCAAACAAGCATACGAAAAGATGCTCAATATCATTAGCTATTAGGGAAATGCAAGTTAAAACCATCATGAGATATTACATATCTATCAGAACAGCTAAAATAAAAAATAGTGACAACACCGAGCACTGGCGAGAATGTGGAGAAAATGAATCACTCATTAATTGCTGGTGATAATGTAAAGTGGCACGGCCACTCTGGGAAATAGTTTTGCAGTTTCTTATAAAACTAAACATTCCATTACCATATGACATAGTAATTGCACTCCTAGGCATATCTTAAAGAAATGAGGGGCCAGCCCCATGGCGTAGTGGTTAAGTGTGCGCGTTCCGCTGCTGGCGGCCCGGGGTTCGGATCCTGGGTGCGTACCTAGGCACCGCTTGTCAGGCCATGCTGTGGCAGCGTCCCATATAAAGTGGAGGAAGATGGGCACGGATGTTAGCCCAGGGCCTCAGCAAAATGAGGAGGATTGGCATGGATGTTAGCTCAGGGCTGATCTTCCTCACAAAAAAAAAAAAAAAAAAGAACGAGGAAAAAGAAAAAAAAGAAATGAAAACTTATATTCACATAAAACTTGTACACAAATGTTTATAACTGCTTTATTTGTAATAGTCAAAAACTGGAAACAACCAAGATATCCTTCAACAGATGGGTTAAACCAACTCTGGCACATCCGTATCATGGAATATGATAAAAAGGAATAAAAAGCATAATAGCATAAAAGGATAATAAGCAATAAAAAGGAATGAACTATTGATACATGCGAAAATTTGGATAAATCTGCAGGAGTGAGAGTGAGTGAAAAGAGCCAGTCCTCAAAGGTTATGTATTGTATGATTGCATTTATGTAACATTTTTGAAATGACAACATTTTAGAAATGGAGAACTTAGTGGTTCCCAAGGGTTAGGAAAGAGTAGAGGAGGGAGGAGGGTGTGGTTATACAAGAGCAACACCAGCGATCCTTATGGTGATGGAAATGTTGTGTATCTTGACTGTAATGGTGGAAACACGAAACTGCACGTGATAAAATCGTATAGGAGTACACACACGCACATGAACATAAGTAAATCTGGGGCAATATTGTAGCATTTTTTTTTTCAGGACGTTGCCATTGGGGGAAACTGGGTGAAGGGTAGGTTATACAGGATGTCTCTGTATTATTTCTTACAGCTGCATGTCAACGTACAATTGTGCCAATAAAAATTTCAATCTAAAAAACACAGATTCAGGGCCAGCCCAAGTGATCTAGTGGTTAAGTTCGGTGTGCGCCACTTCGGCGGCCCCAGGTTCGGTTCCCGGGTGCGGACATCCACCACTCGTCTGTCAGTGGCCAGGCTGTGGCAGTGGCCCACATACAAAAAAAAAAAAGAGGAAGATTGGCAGCGGATGTTACCTCAGGGCTAATCTTCCTCAGCAAAAAACAATTAAAATAAAATAAAAAACACAGGTTGAGGTTTCTTTTCAAATATTACGTGGGTTTAGTTTTATTCTACCTTCTTGCATGGAAGGAAAACCAGTAATGAGATTCAAACCATTCTGTTCACTGATACCTGCGTGGAGGACTTTCTTTTTCTGAGTCTTTTGATTTGACGGGTCCCCTGGTACTTTTGACATATTTAGCGATGACGTTCGTGTTGATTCAACATCAGAGTGAGGTTCTGCACATTTTTCTGGGGTTGAAACCATAGAACAGATTTCTTTTTGATGCCTGTTTTGATTTAGATAAAAAGTAGACAGAGAAAAAGAAAGAATGAAAAAAAAAAAAAGGAGAGGGGAAACACAAAATTTCCATTAAGAAGGCAGAGTTAGATCAATACAATCAAGTTGAATGCTGCAAACTTAAAGAAGTGAGCCTTTCTCCATTTGGCTAATATAAGAATAGTCATTTATCCCCATCCCATGCAGAAGAGTAGACAGGGGCCCAGCCGGAGTCATTAGACACGGCTCACATCACAGCTCTCTTCCTTCCTGGCTGTGTGACTCAGTGCAGTCACTCAATCCTCTCTAAACTTCGTCACTTTCCTCATCTATAAACTGAGGGAAACTTCAGCTGCTCACTGACTGTGTGGGGCTGGCGTGAGGATTAACACAAGCGAGAGCTGGTTGTAAACCAGAAAGCCATTTCTCTACCAAAGGGTTGAACAGCCAGCTCTTATAAAAGCCAGAGAAGGAAAACCCCTGCCTTGGACCCTCTATGCCAGCACTAGATTGTGGCAAACCATTCTGGTGAAGATCTGGGACCGGGAGGGACCCCAGAACTGTCTGAATATTTTCCCAGACACACCTTCTCTGAAGCTCTGAACACAACAGCCACAGAAAGGAATTTCCAGAACAATCCCCTGCTCCAACACTGTAGAGCATGCCCTCCCTCCTTCACCCCCATTCCCATGCCTGCCTCCATGGAGCACCCACCCAGAGTTCTATAATCCTTTGTGTATCCCCCACCACACCGTTCATCCTGGGATGGAAGGACCAGGCTTACACTCATCTGTGCATCTCAGTTCGCCTGGTGCATGATTTGAACTTAAATGTTTGAAAAAAGAAGGAAGGGAGGTAAGATTTGGGGGCGGTAATATTTTCTCACCTGGTGGAAAACTAGAACAAGGCAATTTGGTTTTGACCATAGCTAAGAGGGTGAATTCACTTTTCCTAATGTTATGTTATAAGGGAGTAGAGAAGCATGGTATGTGTATAATGAGGAATTGAGTTTTACTCTTTCCTTTATATCAATTCAGAGCTCTTCTTATGTGCCAGGCATGCCCTCGGTTAATCCACCCACAATCCTATGACTACCATTAATCCCATGTTATAGATGAGGAAACTGAGGCTCAGCCGGATTAAGTAACTTGCCCAAAGTTACCTAACATGTAATGGTGGGAAGCCTGGATTAAAACATTTCTCTACATGACTCTAGAACCTGCCCCTTCCAGCTTTATTTGGAAAACAAACAAATAAATATAAAACAAATAGAAACTAAAAAACAAATATAAAAAACCAAGAATGCACCCACTACTCAATCAATAGCAGATGCAGTCAACTACCAAGCCAACTTCCAAGCAATACCTGGTCATTTTGTCCTGACATTTTTTAGTTTGATTAGGTCAGGGGAAGAAGCCAGTTAAGGTACTGGCTGAAAGTACAGAGAAGGTAATTTGCACTCATGTGCTGCCCATTTACTTGATTCTTAGTTTATTTGTTCAAATCCTCTGGATCTAGAAGATGTATCTGAATTTTCCCAAACAAATACTTAAAAAATAATGCTGGTAAAATCTCATTATAAGAGATGCCTGATATAACATTTCTCTCTTTTTACTGATTTCATGCTCATGCCTTGCCCCCAGCCCATATTAATGCTTAATTTGCTAATAGGAAGACAACCAATTTCGATGAAGAAGAAATCATGATTAATAAATGTATTTTCAACACCTTTCCATTTTGCTATCACTCTCTTAAATAAAAAGACATACTCCTTTGTATGGTATTTTTATGAAGATAGGGTATTTTTATGAAGCTGTGGCACTTGAATATCTGTACAATGTGAAATTATTTTAGGATTTGACACATTTTTTGAGTGTTGGGGTGGTTTTGATTTTTGTTTAAAAAGTAATTAGAAACATGTTAGAATACAGAGTGGGAAAGACCTGAGAAATCATCTATCCCAAATCCTACCACCACAGCCACCATTTTAAAGACGAGGAAATTGAGACCCAGAGCAGTGGACAGGTGTGGAGAGAAGTTAAGATTTCGCCAAAGTCCAGAGAGTGAAGTCCGGACCTTGGGCCTCCTGATCCTTGAGTCAAATCTCCTTCACTACACAGCACTCCTGCTCTGCTCCGACACTGCTCGGGTTGGGCTGGGGGACACCTGTCCACACTGGGTGGAGATGAAACCTAACACTGCTCTGAGGTGTCATGCAAGGATTTCCGAACTTACATGTAAAGGCAAATATGTGGCCTCCTTAAGCCAATCATTATTAAATCATTGGATTATGAATTCCCTTTGCTTAAAAAAAATCCTAACATAATCATACTTTGTGACTCTTTTCACTAAAAGAAATCTCACAAAGCATTGCAGAAAGAAGTGTCGAGGAGAGTGACCAAGGAGAGGACCCCAGCGCGGGGGAGAATAGGCAGCTTGGCAAGCTCACTTGTTGTCCCCTTCCTTTTCTCCATTGTACCACCAGTCCATGATCAAGGACTCCGAATAAAGGTTTTGCACCTTCTCCAGGTCACTGCGTCCCTGCTCCATTTCCTTAATCAAAAGAGTCAGATCTTCATTCTGCCAAAATGAGAAGTGAGTACCTTATGAGATTGTATAAGAAGGTTCAAATTTCAAACATTTCTACCAGAAAACCAACTGCATTAGGAAAAGAAGAATTTAAAAAATTTCATGTAGTTCTTTCCTTATTCCATTTTTATTTATTTATTTATTTTTGTGAGGAAGATTGGCCCTGAGCTAACATCTGTGCCCATCTTCCTCTATTTCGTATACAGGACACCACCACAGCATGGCTTGATGAGCGGTGTGTAGGTCTGCACCTGGGATCCAAACCTGCAAACCCCGAGCCGCCGAAGTGGAGTGTGCAAACTTAACCACTAGGCCACTGGGCTGGCCCCTATTATTCCATTTTTAAACAGCTTTATTGAGGTATAATTCACATACAATAAACTGAATGCATGTAAAGTGTACCATTTGCATAGTTTCAACATTTACATCTATGAAATCTTCATTGCAATCAAGATAACAAACATACCCATCACTCCCCAAAGTTTCCTTGTGCCTCATTGTAAATCTGCCCTTCCCCCGAAACCCCTCTCTCCCGTTCCCAAGCAACTTCTCATCTGCTTTCTGCCACTATACATTAGTTTCAATTTTCTGGAATTTTATATAAATGGAATCATACAGTATGCACTCTTTTTTTGTCTAGCTTCCTTCACTCATATAATTATTTTGAGCTTCACCCATGTTGTAGCATGAATCGACAGTTCATTCATTTTTATTGCTGAGTGACTAAATTTTGGTATTCAGTATTGTATACTGAATTGTATACTGAATACCAAAATTTAGTCACCTGTTGATGGCCATTTGAGTTGTTTCTGGGTTGGAGGTACTATAAATAAAGCTACGAAAATTTGTAAACAAGTCTTTGTTTGGACATTTACTTTCATTTTTCTTGGGTAAATATCTAGGAAGGGAATGATTGGATCATATGGCTGGTGACATTAAACTATTAAATTACCAAACTTTTTTCCAGAATGGTTGCACTAGTTTACATTCCCACCAGTAACGTATGAGAGTTCCAGTCCCTCCACATCCTTGCAAACACTTGATATGGTCAGTCGTTTTAATTTTAGCCATTCTAACAGCTGACCAGTGGTATCTCATTGTGGTTTTAATTTGCATTTCCCTAATGACTAACGAGGCATCTTTTCATGTTCTTATTTGCCATGCATAGATCTTCTTTGGTGAAGTGTCTGTTCAAATCTTTTGCTCATTTTTTGAGTTTCCTTATCATTGAGTTTTAAGAGATCGCTATATATTCTGGATACAAGTCCTTTATTAGATATGCAATTTGAAAATATTTTCTCTCAGTCTACAACTTGTCTTTTCATTGTCTTAGCATTATCTTTTAAAGATAAATTTTAATTTCGATCAAGTCCATTTATCAGTTTGTTCTTATATAGATCATGCTTTTGATATCCTAGTAATTTTTTTTGTCTAATAAGGTCACAAAACATTTTTCATACATTCTCTTCTAGATGAGAAAAATCTAGGTTTTACATTTAGGTCCATGAATCATTTGGAGTCAATTTTTGAATAAGGTGTGAGTATGGATCAAAGTTCATTTTTGCATATAGATAGTCAATTGTTCCAACACCATTTGTTGGGGGAAAAAAAACTATAACTATCCATTCTTAACTGAATGGTCTTTGCACCTTTGTTGAAAATCTGTCGTCCACATATGTGTCAGTCTATCTCTGGTTTCTCTATTCTGTTCCATTGATCTATATTATCTAACTTAGATTCTGATTACTATAGCTTTAAAATAAGTCTCGAAATCAGGTAGTTAGTCACCAACTCTGTTTCCCTTTTCAAAGTTGTTTTGACTATTCTAAATCCTTTGCATTACTATAGAATCAGTTAGTTAAGTTTTACCAAAAAAGCCTGTTTGGATTTTGACTGGGATTTCATTGAGTCTATAGATTAATTGAGAGAGAATGGACATCTTAACATTTTCTCTAACGTTTTACTGTTTTCAGTTTGATTCATGCTCTTATCTTTCATTTTCTTCTTCCTGCTTGCTTTGGGTTTATTGTGTTCTTCTTCTAGTTTCTTGGCGTTGGAACTCAGATTGTTGATTCAATTCCTTTCCTTGTTTCCAATACACATATTTAGTGCAATAAATTTCACTCCCAATACTGTTTTAGCTGCATCCCACATAGTTTGTTATGTGGTGTTTTGGTTTTCATTCAGTTCTAAGTACTTTTTATTTCCTTTTAGACTTCCTCTTTGACCCATGGATTATTTAGGACTGTGTTGTTTAAATTCCATGTGTTTAGATATTTTCCTGCTATCTGTCTATTGTTAATTTCTAGTTTGATTCCACCATGGTCACAGAACAAACTCTGTGTGATTTCAATTCTTTTAAGTGAGTTGAGGTTTGTTTTATGGCCCATTGTATGGCTTATCTTGATAATATTTCATGAGCACTAGAAAAAAATTTGTATTTGGCTGTTGTGGTGGGAGTGTTTTACTTATGCCAATTAGATCCCATTGGTTGATTATGTTGTTCAGATCTTCTTTATCCTTGCTGATTTTGTGTCTAGTAGTTCTATCAGTTGCTAGGAGGAAAACGTCGAGGTCTCCAACCACAATTTTGTATTTGTCTCTTTCTCCTTTCAGCTCTATCAGCTTTTGCTTCATATATTTTAAGGCTGTATTGGTCTGTGCACACAATTCTAGGAGCTTTATATCTTCCTGGTGGATTGATCCTTTTATTAGCATGTAAATTTTCTTTGCTTTGAAGTCTACTTTATTAGTTATTAATATAGACAATCCAGCTTTTCATTAATATTTATATAGTATGTCTTTTTCTATCCTTTTATTTGAACCTACCTATGTCATTGTTCTTGAAGTGAGTTTCTTGTATGCAGTATATAATTTGGCTGTGTTCTTTTTTTTTTTTTTTTGTGAGGAAGACTAGCCCTGAGCTAACATCCAATGCCAATCCTCCTCTTTTTCTGAGGAAGATCGGTGCTGAGCTAACATCCGTGCCCATCTTCCTCTACTTTACATGGGATGCCACCACAGCATGGCCTGACAAGCGGCGCGTCGGTGTGTGCCTGGGATCTGAACCCGTGAACCCCAGGCTGCCGAAGCAGAGCACGCACACTTAACCACTGTGCCACCAGGCCGGCCCCTTGGCTGTGTTCTTTTATCCACTCCACCAATATCTGTCTTTTGATTAGTGTAGACTATTTACATTTAAAGTAATTATTGATATCTTATCACTTCTGTTATTTTATTATTTGTTTTCTTTTTTTCATTGGTCTTGTTCCTCTGTTTCTCTTTTCTTGCCTTCCTTCAGGTTTCTTAACTTTTTTTTTTAAATAATTCTATCCAGGTTTATTCGTAGTGTTTTGAATGCATCTCTTTGTATGGTTTTTGTAATGGTGTCTCTAGGTATGAGAGCAAATATATGTGACTTATAACAGTCTACTAGCATCAACATTTTACTGCATTCAGGGAAATATGGAAACCTTACTTCCCTTTAGGTCCTTTTACGCTTCTCACTTCTAAATACCATTATCTTGAGTATCAAACAGTGTTGTAATTTTTATTTCAATCATCAAATATGATTTATAAATCTCATGAGGAAAAGGACAGTCTATTATAACTACCCATATTTCTGCTCTTTTTTTTCCTTCTTGATGCTCCAAGATTAGCTCTTTTATCATTTCCTTTTGCTTGAAGAACTTCCTGTAGCCAATATAAGAGTAGGTCTTCTAGCAACAAATACTTTTAGTTTTTATTTGTCTGACAATATTTTTATTTCCCTTTCATTCCTGATGGATAGTTTTGTCGGATATAAAATTTGTGGTTGATGGTTCTTTTCTTCCCACACTTAACAAGTGTTGTGCCACTTCTCTTCTGGCTTTCTTGTTTTCAGATGAATCTTCTGTCATATCCACTCTCAACTTGGTGTCATTTCTTTCAGGTTGTTTTCAAGATTTTTTCTTTGTCTTTGATTTTCAAATGTTGGAATACTATGTGTCTTAGCATGGATTTCTTTGGGTTTATCCTATTTGGAGTTTACTCAGCTTCTTCAATCTGTATGTTTATCACTTTCACAAAATTTGGGGAGGTCTCAGCCATTATTTCTTCATGTAGTCTTTCAGTCCCATTTTCTTTCTCCTCTACTTGCAGAACTCTGATGATACTAACGTTGGATCTTTTGCTCTTTCATTATTGTCCCACAGGTCCCTGTGGTTCTGTTTTGTTGTTGTTGTTGTTTTTCCCAGTGTATTTTCTCTCTGTTGTTAAGATTAGCTGAAGTCTATTGTCTGACCTCAAGTTCACTGATCCTGTCATCTCCACTCCACCATTGAGCCCATTCAGTGCAATTATTTGTTATTGTATGTTTCAGTTCTATAATTTCCACCTGGAAATTTTTATACCTTCTACTTCTTTGCTGAGATTTTCTGTTTGTTCATTTGTCTCCAGATAATTTCTAATTGATTGTTGAAGCATTTTTATGGCGTGTTCTTTAAAATCCTTTTCAGGTAATTCCAACATCTGAATCATCCCTATATTGGCATCATTTGATCATCTTTTCTCATTCAAGTTGTGATTTTTTGGTTCTTGATATGATGACTTTTTAATGTACCCTGGACGTTTTGTCTGTTGTGTTAGAAGACTCTGGGTCCTATTTAAATCTTTTATTTTAGCTGATAGTCACCCTGTTTAAATTTAGCATGTGGGACTTGTGCTACTTGTTGCTCCAAAGGCAGTTAATTTTCAGAGTCTTTTTGATATTATTTGGGTCTTTATTAATCTGGTGTCACAAGACTCCTGCTGGCCCTGCTGGTGCTGCCTGAGGAAGCAGCAGGGGTTTCCCTGAGTCAGGCTGCCAGGCATTTCTTGACGCCTCTACTGCTGTCCCCCCAGGCATCCCTGTGTCACTGGGTGGGGTAGGAGGGTCCCTGGCCCACAGGGACAAAGAATTCTCCTGGGGCTGGGTCCCTCTTGCCTGTTCTTCCCACTCACTCTGGTATCTCTGGGCAGAGGAGGAGAGTCTCAGATCTGTAGGGACAAAGAGGCTTCCCAGACCAGGCCACCTGTGGCTGTGTCCTTTGGCTAGTACTGCCCACCTACCCCAGTAAACCTGTGTTTCTAGAACACTTTTTATATGTTTGGGGACTTTTATAGCTAAATTTCACTTTCATTTGGGCATATCTGTGTACCTGGTGATTTTTTTCCAGCTGTTTTTGTCAAGGTGAGCTGTCACAGTGGCCAGGGTCAGGAGTTCAGTTCTCTTTCTGTGGGACAGTTATCTCCACTTTATTCACAGACAGAGCTCCTAAGGGTAGAGGGTTAACAGAGCACTGAGCATCCCCACACAGCACTGCCTCCACTGGTCTTGTTGGTGCTGGATGGAGGTGGAGGCTCAGCTCTCCAGTGAGGGAGACCACGTTTGGGTTAGTCTCCTTTCACACTACCTCATTTATCCTTACGCTGTTGGGCGTTAACGGAGCTCAGCTCTCCACCAACCCTCACTGACACCAGGGATAGGTGGAAAGTGGAGAGGTGCTTATCCCCAACTCACACTTCCTTTTTAATTTTCATTGATGCTGGGTGTTTGTGGAAGCTCAGCTCCTTGCCAAGTCTCACTGATATCAGAGCCGTGGCGAAGCATAGTTGTGACTAGACCGTCCTCACGTTGCCTTAAGTCTCAGTGCTGCCCGGTGGGGTAGAGGCCCAGCTTGCCACTGGACTCCATGGACACTATCTTGGTGGGGGAATCAGAGCACTGCTTACTTCTGCTTGAGGGGGTGATGGACAATCAGCTTCCCTCTCAATCCTCTGATACTGCCCTAGGACAGGATTTGGAGTACCATCTGCTTCTGCCCAGTGGGGTCTGGAGAATCAGCTTTCCATTCAGCTCTACCCACACAACCCCAGCAGAGAAATGAGAGCACTGCTACCTGCTTCCACCACGTGGGGAATGGAAGATTAGCTCTCTGGTCAGCTCTACTAATACCACCTGGCAGGGGGATCAGAGCACCATCACTTGCTCCCATTGAGCAGGAGGATGGTGTGGAAGATCAGCTCCCTGTTCAGCTCCACTGAAATCCTGGGGACAGGCGTGCAGTGTTTCCATTGGTGTATGGCTGGAGTAGGGCAAGTATTGCCAAAAAGGTTTTCTATTGTTAGGCCATCCTCTTCCCAGTCCTTTGGCTAGGGGGAATAGGATTTTCTTGTGTCATTTTTTTTTTTTTTTTTGTCTCTGCCTGTTAGAGATTCCAGGTTGGAGGCTTTGGCAGTGCCCTATCTGGGATATGTGGAAGGCAACAACAAAATCTGAAGGACTCACTGCCATGTTATTCCTCAAATTCTGAGGTCCCCAGGCATTCCACCTACTTCTTTCAACCTTTCAGAGTCTTCCTATGCTTGTTTTTTGTGTGTGTGCATTATGTTCAGGGCTTTTTAGCTGTAAGATGGAGGACCTACGAGGAATAGGGCTACTCCATTATTGCTGGAACTGGAAGTCCCTCTAGTAATTTATATTATAATTAGATTTAAATAACAAGGAAAAAATCTTACCTATTTACCTATGCAGTTACCATATCCTTTGCTCTTCATTCCTTAGTGCAGATTTGTATTTCTATCTGATATGATTTTCCTTTTGCCCAAAGCTCTCCCTTTAACATTTCTTGTACTGCAGGTTTATTGGTGATGAATTCTTTCAGTTTTCATATATCTTTAGAAGTATCTTTTTCACTTCCTTTTTCACAGATATTTTCACTGTGTATGGATTCCACACTGACAGTATTTTTTCTTTCCGTACTTTAAAAATTTCACTCCACTGTTTTTTCACTTGCATTGTTTCTGATAAGAAATCTGCTGTCATCTTTATCTTTGTTCCTCTGTACATAATGTGTCTTCTTTTACCCTTTTAAGATTTTCTCTGTCACTGATTCTGAGAAGTCTAATGCTGACGTGACTTGGTATGCTTTTCTTCATGTTTCTTGTGCTTGGGGTTCATTGAGTTTCTTGGATCTGTAGGTTTATAATTTTAAACAAATTTGTAAAATTTCTGGCCACTCTTGCTTCAATTATACATTTATTAGTCTACTTGAATTCTTCCACAGATCATTGACACCCTGTTCTCTGTTTGTGTTTTGGTTTTAATTCTTTTTTCTCTGTGTTACATTTTGGATAGTTTCTATTGCTGCCTTGCAGTTTACTAATCTTCTGTTCTGCAACGTCTGATCTGCTGTTTATCCCATTCCATGTATTTTTCATCTCATACATTGTAGTCTTCACACCTAAAAGTTTGATTTGTGTCTTAGTTGTATCTTCCATGTCTCCTTAACTTTTTGAACATATCAAATACAGTTATAATAACTGTTTTAATGTTCTAATACTAACATCTGAGTCAGTTATGTGTATATTTTAATTTTGCTACTTGCTTTTTCTCCTCATTATGGGCCTTTATTTTCCTGCTTCTTTGCATACCTGGTACTATCTAAATGGATGCTAGAAATTGTCAATTTTACTTTGTTGGGTGGTGGGTATTTTTTGCTTTCCTATAATTATTCCTGGGGTTTATTCAGGGATGCAGTTAAGTTCTTTGGAAACAGATGGATCCTTTCAGGTCTTGCATTTAAGATTTTTTAGGCAGAACTGGAGCAGCATTTGGTTGTTCCCACCATGCAGGCAATACCCTTCTGTATGTTCTACCCAAGGATGATAGGATTATGAGGTTTTCCAGTCTAGCTGATGGGAGTAGTCACTATTCCCTGCCCTGTGTGAGCTCAAAATATGGTTCCCTCTAATCCCTTTGGATGATTCATTCCCCAGACTCTGTTAGTTTCCTCCTATGCAAGCACAAATCGTATTCTGACTTCTCCTGGATTTAAAGTCACTCGTTAGGACAGACAATAAGACAAAAAACATATTCTCTAGAAGGGCATTCTTGAAATGCATATCCTCAGGTCAAGATTGGAGGATTGGAGAATAGAATTTTATTTACTTTCTCCCATTAGAATGAATTGCTTTATCAGATGGTCACATGGTTACATAGTCTGAGAAGTCAGGAGACAACTACCTAGCATCTGAATTTTTTGGAAGTTTCCCACAAATGTCTGTAAACAGCAGTGGTTAACAAACCATGTATGGACCCCTGGGGATGCTTGTTAAAAATACAGATTCCTGAAGTTTGGCAAAATGCTGATAATTGTTGAATTTGATTGACAGGTACACAAGGGGTCCATATACTCTTCTAATTTTGTGTATGTTTGAAACTTTCCATAATAAAATGTTTAGAAGGGAAACAAAATATATTAATTAAGATTCCTGGGCCTCTATACCTAGAGCCTGATTTAGTAGCTCTGAAGTGGGACCCAGGAATCTGCATTTTCACAAGCACCCTAGCTCAGGTGGTCCTTAGACCACATTTTGCAGTACACTCCTTGTTAAGTGATCCATTTGCTCGACTTAGTTGTCTTTGTGGTTGCTGTTTTCCCAACTAAGGTATTGTCCATGGGCATCCAGCCTGTAATGCTCAAATAAATGAACACTCTCTTCTCAGCTCATAAACTCTTACCTGAACAGCCTCTGGAAGACAGGGATCCTTGCAGCCAAAATTATAAGAATGGAACTCTCCTCCAGTCAAAGCAGCAAGCTCTTTCAAAAATCCATTTGCAATCTCATCATTGTAATTGAAGGAGATGGTGTAAATAGGAATTTTCTGAAAAACTTTGACTTGGTCTATAACCATTTCAAGTGGCTAAAATGATATGTTTTGGGGGGAAAAGGGGAGATGGAAAGAGAGAGGAAGAGAAAGAAAAAAATAAGACATGAAAATCCTAAGTATTTGCTATTAGATAGAGAAATTCTCAACTAGTAATTCCTTATACAGTGGTGAGTGGCTTCTTGAAAAGGTGTCAATTCACTTCAGTAAGCAAAGCAAACCATGCCAGATGGTGAGAGTATGAAGGCCAACAGCTCACCTCTTGCCTTCCGAGAGCTCACAGTTTGGGGGGAAAAGAATCTGGAAGAAAGATTTGACTAACCAAATCATTCAATTTTAGGTGCATCTAAGCCTAGAGTCCATGGTTTTAAAGTGTTGGGCTATACTTGAAAGCACTTAAAGTATTGGGGTCATGGGTGGAACATCCTGGCTATTGGAATTCTACAGAGTGAGGCCACTGGATCTTGATGTGGCTTCCAAGGCATCTACTCGAAAAGAGCAATTTCCAGTTTTGGACAGGCCATGGTCAATGTGTCTCCCACAGAGTGAAAGAAGAGACATTTATTAAGGGTCTTTCCATGTGCTGGCACTCTGTTGGGAGCATAATATCCCAGTTAATCCTCACAACCCTCTTGTGAAGTGGTTTTGGAAAGACTGATAGTTGCCTACCTAATATCCATTCCTCTCCTCCTTTTTTACTATCAGACCCCTGGCTTTCTTTTCATGGCAGAAACGAAAACAAAAACCAAACAACACATACACACATAAAAACTCATCTTCTGACACTTTTTTGCAGCTAGGAGTGGCCATGCGACCCAATTCTGTCCATTGAGAAACAGGCAGAAGTTCCAGGGGACAGATTCCTTTCCTCCAATAAAAAGACGACGACTTAACAAAAAAAGCTAATCTCTTTCCCTTTCCCACTCCCACCTCCTGGAAAATGGACACTCTACCTAGAAGTGGAGCAGCCATCCTGTGACTATGAGGGTGGGAGTCATATACAAAGATAACAGAGCATGAAGATAAATGGAAGCCTGTTTTCTTGGAGCCATCCTTGAGTAGTTGTTTTAATCTAGGCTACCTATCCCTAGGCTTCTTTTCCATACGAATATAAATCTTTCCACTGTTTCAGCTACCATTTGTCTGCTCTTCTGCTTTTTTCCCCAGGAATATGCAACCCTAATTGGCACAGTAGGCATGGGCTCCACTTAAAGATGGGCAAATCAAGGCTCAGAAAGATTTCCTAGGGTCATCAAGCTCGTAAGTGGTAAGACTGGAATTCAATGCCAATTTTTGGTACTAGAAGCAATGCCAGATTGTTTGTTTCCCTGGTTTGCAATAAAGACTGTCTTTTGGTAACGATCGACTCTCAGCAAACATTACCTGACTCTCAGGAAAGATAAACTGGTAAATCTCCCTGCCACCTCTCCAGGACCACCATCACAGCCCAGCTGAGAACCTTCAGAAACTGCCTCTGATTGTCCTGTCTCCACTTCCTCTGCGTTTCTCAGTGCCAGGAGTCCCTCTTTGATTGACCCAATTTGCCGGCTCCCTCAGCCAGTTCCCACTCTCCACTTTCAGTTCCTGTCCTTTGGCCTTTAACCCTTCCCATATTTTTCCTGTGAGCCCTGGGGAGGCAAGTTGATGAGGGGGAGAGGACTCTGGACTCACCACTGACTGGCCTGGGGAAGCTCATACACTGCCCAGGAGGCAGCCAGTTGAGTGGTCCCCCAGGGTCTGGTCTCATTCCAGCTACCACTTATGCACAGACCCAGTCTCTGTATCTGGCTCCAGCCTTGAGCCTGCCCCTGCCCATAAGCCACCTTTCCTCCTCTATCCTTCTCACCTCCCTTCTGGCCATCAGCTGATTTCCCAACCAAACAGCAACCTAACCTAGCTAAAGGGCTGACCCCATCCCTCTTGTCAACTGTAAGGACAGCGCAAAGCCCTCTCTGCTGCCTCCTTTTCCTTCAACCTAACTTCCATTTTTGAGCAATTACTGTGTGCTAGGCTCTAAGAGTTCTGCTTGTGATCTCTCCCTGCATCTTCCCTACGACCCTCTGAGGTAGGTACTATCATTATCCTCATTTCTTACCAGGAACTCCTGGCCACTGCCTCTCAGCTCCATATACCACACTGGAGATGCTAGACGTAAATTCTGTTAAATTGATAAGGTTTTAGCCAGGAACTACTCCTACATTGACTTACAGCTGAGATATTTGGGAAGGGAAAGAAACTAACACTGATTTAGTACTGACTGTGTGAGTGCCAGGCACTGTGGTTAGCATTTTCACCTTTTCATATGCTACCTGACATTATTTCATATATTTATTTGCTCATTGCCTATCTCCCCATAAAACATAAGCTTCATCAAAAGCAGGCACCTTGTCTATCTTGCTTACCACTGTATCCCAGACTGATAGCCTGGCACATAAAAGGTGCTCAATAAACATTTGTGGAATGCATTCATGGGAACATCATCTCATTTACTCACAGCATCCCTGGGAGGAGGGAGTATTAGTGCTAAGCCACAGATGAGGAAATTCACATTAGAGGACACTTGCCCGAGGTCATTCAGATGGGCAGTGCTGGGGATGATCTTCTAACCCAGGTCTCTAGCTCTAAAGCTATTTCCATCATTCCATAGAGCCAAACAGATCACAAGCATGAGAAAGTCTGTTATGTGTATTGTGAGCCTCTCACCTGCACCCACCCCAGGTGATGTTTTTGCTAAACTGGCATGACGTCCTAGCGCCCAGTGTGGTGTTGGAGAGCTGGGCAGAGGGTGAGGGTGCACCTTGATTGCAGAAGGAGCTCCCCGAACTGGAAAATAGACATTCCTGTCCTCCTGCCCCTCCATCCCCTAAGGATTCCTTTTATTGGCTTATGTCCTCACAGCTTTGAAGAGTAGACCCAGAACACTGAAGTAAACCTTTCACCACCGCAGCCTGACTGACCCTAACTCTTTCCAGCCACTTACTCTAGTAGCTTCACTGGGCTGTGGAATGTGGTGGCCCACTCCCTGTGTAGCTCCTGTGTAACACTGAGAAAGCCCTTCTCAGCCCAGGACTCCTTAGTATGTTCCCCATAGAGGTCCTTCAATCCCTAAGATGAGGCCAAGCAGCATATCTGAGAGAACTCCCAGTTCCCTCTTCTCTGAGTCTAAACAGATGTGCATCCAGATGTCCCTTTCACCACAAATGTCAACTGGCGGTGGCAAGAAAGGCAGGGATCGGTTCTCCTAACTGCCTGAAGGAGTTCGTGCAGGTGGCTCACCCGGTGCCTTCCCCATGTCCCCACCCCTTGCATACTCCACGTTAGGCTTTATCCATTCATTTTTGTTTAGAATGGTGCAGAAACCTTCCTCACATCCATTTTCTTGATTCCTGGCAGGGTGAGTACTTAACTTCAAAGAAGCCCCAAAATGACCGCAGCCAAAGATGTGCTGGGCTGCTCCTGGCAGAGGCCCTGCAGTTCACACCTACAGATGGCCAAAATGATGCCTATCGATTTCATTTTAATGAAGACTAATATTACTAGAACTCTTTTAACTTGATTAATTTTAAAGACTTGTCTTGCTATACAATTCTGCCCTGGACATTTAATAAACAGGCAGTGAGCTGGTGACCATGGAATTGAATCCTGAACAGCATCTCTGTGTGTTCTTTCAAGTATAAATTCTGCTGAGTATTGGGAATAATAATAATGGCCTTATATATTCAGGTCTCACAAAGTCAGTGAAAATTCAACAACAAATGGAGATTAAGTAGTACATCTTAACGTCCTCCACATAGAATGTGAATATCAAATATCCATCTGTTTTTTTGAGAGAATCTGAGGAATAATGCAAAATAAATAGATTGCATGTAGGAAAAAGACAGATATAAATATGAAATGCCTAAGTAAGAGTTTATAAATTACTTTTGGGGTAATTTGCATATTTCTAATTCCAATTGTCATCTATATCCCTGGTTCTTCATCTTTAAGTGGACCACGGACCCTCCGAGAATCTGGTGAAAGCTACTGATCTTCCCCCCCGAGAAATATATGAGCGCATTTTGATTATACTATTGGGGGATTCCAGACCATTAGATGTCTATGATGGATTGGAGACCAAGAATCCTTCTCAATACACTGCTAGCAGAAGTGTTACTTTGTACATTCGCTTTGGGGGGCTATTGGGCAGTATCCCCATCAAAACATACACCTTATGACCAAGTTTACTTCTTAGAATTTATGCTACAGATATATTCATATATGTGCAAAAGGATACATATTCACGGTTACTTTTGCAACATTGTGTATAACATGAAGATTGAAAACAGCCTAAATGTCCATCTCCAGGGGACATGGCTAAATAGCCGTGTGATGGAATAGTAGGCAGCAATGAAAAAAGTGAGGAAGCTCTTTATGAAATGATGTTAAGGAATCTCCAAGGTATATTATTTTATTACTAAAGGTGCAGGATTGTGTGTGTAATATGCCACCATTTATATATTCTAAAAGGAAATATATATAAATACATATCTGCTTGCATAACAAACTATCTCTGAAGGAAGATACAAGAAACTGGTAATACACATTGCCTCTCAGCTGGTGAACAGGAGGTGGGAGGGAGAATTTTCTCTATATATCCTTTTGTATCTTTGTAATTTGTACCATGTCAATGTATTGCTATACAAAAATTAAACAAAATTAATTTTTAAGGTAGAAGTTTTATTAAATCTATATAAGGAATATGATGTAGTCATTGAGAATGATGTTTCTGAAGAATTTCTCATGACTTGGAAAAACTGCATATATTAGATGAAAAAAGCAGAATACAAAAGTGAATTATGAATGATTTAAATTTTCTTCTTTCTTATGCTTATATGCTTATCTATATTTTCTAAACTGCAATAAAATCAGTAAGAATTTATTAAAAAGAAAAAGACCCCTGTCCAGATGACTTTCAATTAGAATCTCCAGCCCACATCTTCCCCAAACAATAGCCCCGTATTTCGAGGGCTTCTGGACATTCGTGAACTACAGGTGCTCAAACTCAGCTTCCTCCACCAGCAACTCCCAAGCCCGTTCCTGCTTTCAATTTAAATTTAAAATGATCATTATAAAGTGATTTAAATTGATCTAGTCTTTCCCTGGCACTCCTGAGGCATATTTCTAAAACACAGGTGGATGGGACCATCTGCTTCTCTGATACCCCACCGCGGTAAAGCCCATCCTTTCCATGTGGCAGTCAAGGACCGTCACAGTCTCCCCCAACCTAACTTTCGAGCCTCAGCCCTGACACTCTCCCATCATTGCTCTCAGATTATTGCTCCAAGAAGACATATTTCCATGCCTCTGTTCCTTCTACCCAGGATACCAGGAATCTCCTCGGTTGAGAAGATTCCTTCTCCTCTGAAAGGTCCCCTCCTCAGTGGAACCTGGCCTGGTGTTCTCTCCCTCTTGTACAGCAGAATTCATCACTCTGTGTTCCCAGACATCTCACAGCACCGGCAACCCAGCTCCCAAATCGCATCACAGTTAACCTTATCGTCGAGCACCTCCCCCGACGTGGAGGCTTCCCTAGGCAGGGATAAGATATTAGTCACCTTTGTAGCCTCAGACCCTGGCACCACACATGGAACATAAGCAAGGCACAATAAAATTGCTTCTGAATAGAACGTATAGTGAAGTTGATAGGAAAATCATTCAAAATAAAATTTTACTTTACACACAACTTTTCTGCCATAAATCTAACACTGTAGTAAAATCCAGTTGCTTTACTATTTAAGCCCTGGACCATTTGACAGGGGATATTTTACAATATTTGCCTAGCAGTCTTCACATGCAAACACCTCACAACGAAAGAAACAAGTTGATACTAATTCACTTTAGCGGTTAATTTATATTGTACTGTCCTGCAAATCTGTAGGTTTATTTAAGGCCCAGAGCATTAGCCTTTCATTCACAAAGCTCAAAAGAAGATGAACAGACTCTGCTGAAACTTTTCAAATATTTTCCAGTCAGGCTAAACAAAACAAAGAACATTTCACTAGAAAGGCATGCTTTTGTTTAAATGATTACTAAGTTAAAATTAGAGGCAAAACCAAGGACGTTGCGCAGTGACATGTTCATATTTAGAGTCCCCAAAGGAAAAAAAATCAAAAAGAATGTCCTCACTCTTAGTTTGTAATAAAATATAAACCAGTCTTCAATGGAAGACGGACGTCTCCTTTCATGGGGCTGGTCTCCAGGCCTCTGGGTGTGTGTCACATTAACCAGACAACACTCGCTGTCACATAAATTCTCCTCACTGTTTTAATAGACAAAGGAATTCCTCAGTGTATTTTCTCACCTCAGTTCTGGGTCCCTATACCAAGGAAATATCTCTCAACAGTTTTTCAATGGCAGTTGAAAAGGTCCCCCAAACCCATTCTCAGCATTCACCTTCAGGGTATTGGTGAGTCTCTCTTTGTTCCCAACTTTGATAAGTACCTGATCAGGTCTCCCATCTGTCAAAAGGTAGATTACTTGTGTTTCTTTATCAGCAAAAGCAATTTGCAGGGCATTCAGGGTGTTCGTGGAACTTCCAATCTACAGAAAAGAGAGAGAGAGAAACACCAAGCACATACTTGAATCTCAAAAGAGATTTCAAACAAGTGTTATTTTCTGCTTCCAAAAAAAGAAAGAAAAGTACTTGAGATAAAAGATAAATTTAACTTATGTTGAGATAATAAGTTAAACCCAGTAATTCCAAGAAGCCAGATCCCTGGGTGTGCCATAAAAGCCCCTAGGCAGACAGTCTCAGGACTGCCAGTTGGCAGCACTATGGATTTCCTGTCCTGAGGACAGAGCTCTTAACGCAATTTTATCTTTGTGTGTTTCTGTGTGAGACAATAACTCAGTTACTGTTCATTCAGCTGTTAACACAGCTTAAACGTGCAGCCTGAATACACTCTGACAGGGATCATCTTTGTTTCAAACCAGGATTTCATCACGACAACCAATATGCAGCAAACATGAGTGTGGCATCATTAGCAATCTGGGGGTACAGCACAGAAATTATAAATTTTTAAAACTCCTGCAGTTTCTGCCCAGGGACGTAGAGCATTGGCAAGAGTCACTCCAAAACTCATAATGAGCAAAAGCCAGACAAGCAGCAAGTACGTGACTTTTGTTACGCCCATCAGAACGCTCAGGTCACAGGACAACCAACTGGCCCCAAACCTGGGGAGAGACGGGCATCTGCAGAGCCAGGGGAGATGCAAGCGCTGGTTTTCTGGGACAAGATGCACCCAGACGCTAATAAGAAGAGCTGGGCTGGGGTGATTGGTAAATTGGTAAAGTCTGGCCAGGTGTATCCTGGTGAGAGAATGAGGTCTGGAGGCCACAAATGTAGGGGAATCTGCACTCTCTTGAAGGCTTTTCACCACAAACCCCATAGGTGCTCACAGAAAAGATGGGGAGAGTCCTGAGAAAACTTCCTTCATGGTGCAGAACTGGGAGAGCGGAATAGCGACACATGAGTCTCCACAGGGACCCTTCTCCTCTACCTCCCCTACAGAACAAAAGCCTTAATCTGTGTGTGCTGGGGAGGGGAGGGAAGGGCAGCAAACATGGCTATCCTTAGTGCACCGGTGAAAACCCAGGACAGCTGGGGGAAAGGAAGAGGGAAGAAACAAACCCACCACACCTGCAGAAGGAGCAGAGATAGGTGCTGGGCTCAGAACTACTGAGAAGGCCATGCCCCTGAGACTCTGGGACACCATGCCTGACTAAGACTAAGGCTCATTCAGAGAACACCCACCCATCACTCCCCTGCAAACACTGAGTAGCAAGTAACTTGCAAGAGACAGACTGTCTCTCAGGCCCAGTGTAAAAGGAAAATCAAAATCCAAGGGTGGAACAAACATTGAAAAACAACCCTTGGGCCAGCCCAGTGGTTAAATTCCAAATGCTCCACTTCAGCAGCCTGCCCTGGTTCCCAGGCACGGACCTACACCATTTGTTGGCAGCCATGCTGTGGTGGCGACCCACATACAAAATAGAGGAAGATTGGCACAGATGTTAGCTCAGGGCTAATCTTCCTCACCAAAACAAACAAACAAACAAAACAAAAACAACCCTCTAGCACATCATCCCCCACTTTAACACAAAGTATCACTACAAGAATTTCAGGATATGGTGCACTGAAGGTAACAATAACAAACAAACCTCAAACCTAGCCCAACTCCTAATCAGATTAATTTTTGTGCCTTTTCTTTTATAAAAAAGAAAGCCATGTTCATTTCCAGGCATAAAAAATATTTATGGTCTCTATCTACTACACAGGATGTCCAGCTTTAACAAAAAAAAAAAATACTAAAAAGAAAGAATAAACAACGTAGTACTAAGAGACAAAAGTACTCATCAGAAACAAACTCAGATATGACACAGATGCTGAGAGGATCTGACAGAAATTTAAAAATAACTGTGATTAAGACATTAAAACCTCTAATGGCAAAGGTGAACAACATTCAAGACTAAGTAGGTAATTTCAGCAGAGAGGTGGAAACCTTAAGAAATAATCAAATGGAAATGCTAAAACTAAAAAACACAGTAATACAGATGAACACAAAAAGGAAAAAAGAGTAAATCAAAACAGAAAAGAGCATCAAAGAGCTGTGGAACATCAAATGGTCTGACGGATGCATAATTGGAAACACAGGAGAAGAGAGAAAACAGGGTATAAGAAATATTTGAAAAAACAATGGCTGAGAATTTTCCAAAAACAATGACAGACACAAACCTATGCCCCCAAGAAAGTCAGAGAATACCAACCAGGATAAATTAAATAAAATGCCCTAACACTTCTGCCAGGGTGGTGTCAGAGAAGCCCAAGTAGTAAGCCAAGATTTTCACCCCCACCAACTGTAACAAGTCCTCCCTGCCTGATGGTGTCCACTTCCACCCAGCAGTAACAAGGTGCTCTTCCCCCCTCAGACTTTGAGTGGGGAACCTTAACTTTAACCTCCACCTGGCAGTAATAAGGCAGGGTCCAATCATCCCCTGACAGATCAGTGTCAGACAGAGCCAACTAAATAGAAGGTTTCAATAATATCCAGAGTATCATAACATAAAACAAAAATGTCTAGGATTACATTGAAAATCATTCTATCATACCAAGAAGCAGGAAGATCTCAACCTGAATGAAAGAGACAATAGATACCAACCCTGAGATGACAGAGACATTAAATTTATTTGACAAAGATTTTAGAGCAGCGATTTAAAAATGTTTAAACTGGCAAGTACCAACAAGTTTGAAACAAATGAAAACGAGAAAGCATCATCAAAGAAATAGAAAGTCTCAGCAAAGAAATAAAAGATATGAAGGAGAAGCAAATGGAATTTTAGAACATAAAAATACAATAACCAAAATTTAAAAACTCAGTAGGGGTCAACAGCAGAATGGAGGGGACAGAAGAGAGAATCAGTGAATTGGAATATAGAACAATATAAATTATCTAATTTGAGAATAGAGAGAAAACAACTGAAGAAAAAAAAAGTAAACAGAGCCTTAGATAGTTGTGGAACTGTAATGAAAGATTTAATGTTTGTGTTATCATAGTCCTGAAGAGAGAGGAGAAAGAGCATGGGACTCGAAGACATAATGCCTGACTCTTCCCAAAGTTGGCAAGAGATATAAATGTATAGATTCAAGAAACTGAGCAAACCCCAAAGGAATCCATAAAAATATATGAAAATTTGTGGGAGACAGGTAAAGCAGTGTTAAAAGGCAAATTTATAGCACTAAGTGCATACATTAGAAAAGAGGAAAAGTCAAATAAATAATTGACATTCTCACCTCAAGAATCTAGTAAGACAAGAGCAAAGTAAATCCAAAACAAGCAAAAGGAAGGAAATAATAATGATAAGAGAATAAATCAATGAAATTGAAAGCACAAAAACAATTGAGAAAATCAATGAAACAAAGAACTATTTCTTTTAAAAGATCAATAAAATTGCCAAACTTCTAGCAAGAGTGACAAAGAGAAAAATGAGAGGAGACATGAATTGCAAATATCAGGGATGATATAGGGGATATCACTACAGATGCTGCAGATATCAAAAGAATAATAAGAGAATTCTACAAATAATCCTACACATATAAATTTGACAACTTACAAGCTACCACAATTCACCTAATATGAAACAGATAATTTTAATAGACCTATAACTATTATTTACATTGAAATCATAATTTTAAAACTCCAAAAAAAGAAATCTTCAGCCCAGATGGTTTCACTGGAGAATTCTACAAAACATTTAAAAAATTCTACAATTCTACACAACCTATGCCAGAAAACAAAAGAAAAGAACATGTACTTCATGTTATGAATCTAGTATTACCCTGATACCAAAACCAGAAAATGACAGTATAAAAAAAGAAAACTATAGACCAATATCTATCATTAATATGGACACAAAAATCCTTAACAAAATATTAATAAATAAAATTAAGCAATCTATAGAATGAATTATACACAATGGCCAAGTGAGGTTTATTTCAGGGATGCAAGGGTGGTTCATATTAAAAAATCAGTGGAATTCACCATATTAACAGGCAAGAAGAAAAAACACGAGCATATCAATCAATACAGAAAATGCATTTGACAAAATTCAACATCTAATGATAATAGAAACTCACAGAAAAATAGGAACAGAGGGAAACTTCTGCAACTTGAAGAAGAGCAACTACAAAAACCTACAAAATCATAAGTAATCTACAGAAAAAAAGCCTCCTTGAAGTAATATGTGAATTCAAAAAGGGTGCAGAACGCAAGATAAATATACAAAAGTTAATTATATATATTAGCAATGAACACATGGATATCAAAATTAAAAATACAATACCCATTTACGATTACCCCCCAAAATGAAATGTTTAGCTGTAAATTTAGCAAAATATATGCAGGACTTAGAACTGAAAACTATACAACACTGATGAAAGAAATCAAAGATCTAAATTAATGGAGAAACAAACTATGTTCATGAATTGAAAGACTCAACATAGTTAAGATATTAACTTTCCCCAAATTGATATCCAGGTTTAATGCAATTCCTATTAAAAAAAATAACAAGATTTGCAGATATATACAAGATTATTCTAAAATTTATACGGAAAGGCAATGGAACTAGAATAGCTAAGATCATTAAGGAAAAGAACAACAAAGTGGAGGAATCAGTCTACTCGAGTTCAAGACTTATCATATGGCTACAGCCATCAAGACTAGGCTGGAGCAGGGGCCAGCCTGGTGGCGCAAGCGGTTAAGTGCGTGCACTCTGCTGCGGTGGCCTGGGGTTTGCCGGTTCGGACCCCGGCCGCACACTGATGCACTGCTTGGCAAGCCATGCTGTGGCAGCGTCCCATATAGGGTGGAGGAAGATGCCCACGGATGTTAGCCCAGGGCCAGTCTTCCTCAGCAAAAAAAGAGGTGGATTGGCAGATGTTAGCACAGGGCTGATCTTCCTCACAAAAAGAAAAAAAAAAGACTATGCTGGAGCAACTGATGTCCACAAGCCATACAAAAATTACCTCAAAAAAGATCATGAAC